GGGATGGGAACTGTTTCAAGTGAATACTGCAGCCTATAGGGATGGGAACTGTTTCAAGTGAATCCTGCAGCCTATAGGGACGGGAACTGTTTCAAGTGAATACTGCAGCCTATAGGGACGTGAACTGTTTTAAGTGAATACTGCAGCCTATAGGGACGGGAACTGTTTCAAGTGAATACTGCAGCCTATAGGGACGTGAACTGTTTCAAGTGAATACTGCAGCCTATAGGGACGTGAACTGTTTCAAGTGAATCCTGCAGCCTATAGGGACGTGAACTGTTTCAAGTGAATACTGCAGCCTATAGGGACGTGAACTGTTTCAAGTGAATACTGCAGCCTATAGGGACGGGAACTGTTTCAAGTGAATACTGCAGCCTATAGGGATGGGAACTGTTTCAAGTGAATACTGCAGCCTATAGGGACGGGAACTGTTTCAAGTGAATACTGCAGCCTATAGGGATGGGAACTGTTTCAAGTGAATACTGCAGCCTATAGGGACGGGAACTGTTTCAAGTGAATACTGCAGCCTATAGGGACGGGAACTGTTTCAAGTGAATACTGCAGCCTATAGGGACGGGAACTGTTTCAAGTGAATACTGCAGCCTATAGGGACGGGAACTGTTTCAAGTGAATACTGCAGCCTATAGGGACGGGAACTGTTTCAAGTGAATACTGCAGCCTATAGGGATGGGAACTGTTTCAAGTGAATACTGCAGCCTATAGGGACGGGTACTGTTTCAAGTGAATACTGCAGCCTATAGGGATGGGGACTGTTTCAAGTGAATACTGCAGCCTATAGGGACGGGAACTGTTTCAAGTGAATACTGCAGCCTATAGGGATGGGAACTGTTTCAAGTGAATACTGCAGCCTATAGGGACGGGAACTGTTTCAAGTGAATACTGCAGCCTATAGGGACGGGAACTGTTTCAAGTGAATACTGCAGCCTATAGGGATGGGAACTGTTTCAAGTGAATACTGCAGCCTATAGGGACGTGAACTGTTTCAAGTGAATACTGCAGCCTATAGGGACGGGAACTGTTTCAAGTGAATACTGCAGCCTATAGGGACGGGAACTGTTTCAAGTGAATACTGCAGCCTATAGGGATGGGAACTGTTTCAAGTGAATACTGCAGCCTATAGGGACGGGAACTGTTTCAAGTGAATACTGCAGCCTACAGGGATGGGAACTGTTTCAAGTGAATACTGCAGCCTATAGGGACGGGAACTGTTTCAAGTGAATACTGCAGCCTACAGGGATGGGAACTGTTTCAAGTGAATACTGCAGCCTATAGGGATAGGAACTGTTTCAAGTGAATACTGCAGCCTATAGGGACGTGAACTGTTTCAAGTGAATACTGCAGCCTATAGGGACGGGAACTGTTTCAAGTGAATACTGCAGCCTATAGGGACGTGAACTGTTTCAAGTGAATACTGCAGCCTATAGGGACGGGAACTGTTTCAAGTGAATACTGCAGCCTATAGGGACGGGAACTGTTTCAAGTGAATACTGCAGCCTATAGGGACGGGAACTGTTTCAAGTGAATACTGCAGCCTATAGGGACGGGAACTGTTTCAAGTGAATACTGCAGCCTATAGGGACGGGAACTGTTTCAAATGAATACTGCAGCCTATAGGGACGGGAACTGTTTCAAGTGAATACTGCAGCCTATAGGGACGTGAACTGTTTCAAGTGAATACTGCAGCCTATAGGGACGGGAACTGTTTCAAGTGAATACTGCAGCCTATAGGGGCTTATAGGGACGTGAACTGTTTCAAGTGAATACTGAAGCCTATAGGGACGTGAACTGTTTCAAGTGAATACTGAAGCCTATAGGGACGTGAACTGTTTCAAGTGAATACTGCAGCCTATAGGGACGTGAACTGTTTCAAGTGAATCCTGCAGCCTATAGGGACGGGAACTGTTTCAAGTGAATACTGCAGCCTATAGGGACGGGAACTGTTTCAAGTGAATACTGCAGCCTATAGGGACGGGAACTGTTTCAAGTGAATACTGCAGCCTATAGGGACGGGAACTGTTTCAAGTGAATCCTGCAGCCTATAGGGACGGGAACTGTTTCAAGTGAATACTGCAGCCTATAGGGACGGGAACTGTTTCAAATGAATACTGCCGCCTATAGGGACGGGAACTGTTTCAAGTGAATACTGCAGCCTATAGGGACGGGAACTGTTTCAAGTGAATACTGCAGCCTATAGGGACGGGAACTGTTTCAAGTGAATCCTGCAGCCTATAGGGACGGGAACTGTTTCAAGTGAATACTGCAGCCTATAGGGACGGGAACTGTTTCAAATGAATACTGCAGCCTATAGGGACGGGAACTGTTTCAAGTGAATACTGCAGCCTATAGGGACGTGAACTGTTTCAAGTGAATACTGCAGCCTATAGGGACGGGAACTGTTTCAAGTGAATACTGCAGCCTATAGGGA